GGATAAGCATATGTCTGAATGCACAGCAAACCTCCGAACCGTGCAACGGAAGCCCGGTCCCCTTCAGGAGGGAGGTGGGAATATTTTAAGGAAGGTAAGAGGCGAGAGAGAGAGAGAGAGAGAGAGAGAGAGAGACCTGGCCACTCAAGTTCTGAGGCAGATTAAGAGGCTATGAAGCACATTTTCCACGGATTAGAATAGATTGCTCTTAATGGACCAAGCAGCCTCCCCAATTGACCTTCTGTGTCCCTGAGACTTGGAGCTGTTTTCTCAAGGCCATTGTTTTTTGGCCTGTTTTCTTTTCTTGTTTTTAATGATGCTATATATTCCTGATTAAACACATAAGCAGCCATTGTTTGCTCCATTGCCCCCCAAAGCAAAAAAACACACGTTTCAGTGGGGAAAGTTAAAAAGCTCCAAGAGTTTTCTGGGAGTCTAAGCTGGGATGGGGATCTGTGTTCCAAACACACTTGATTCCGCATTCAAAGAAGAGGAGGGAGGCCAGGAGGGAGTTATTCCAGGTCGCGGGCTCACGGCCCCAAAATGCCATGCTAACTGTCTTGTCCATTAATCCTCTAGCAAAGTGTCTTTCCTTACGACAGGTGGCCTATGCCTGCCTTAGCTGATGGCAATCTTCAGAGGCTCTCCTCTTCCACAGGAACACAGGAAGCAGTTTGACAGAATCACAGAGAGTTGGAGGGCACCCCAAAGGACATCTAGCCCAACCCCCGCAACGCAGGAACCTCAACCTCATACTGAGTCAGGCCGCTGCACCATCCAGCTCAGCACTGAACGACTGGCAGCGACTCTCCAGGGTTGCAGATGGAGCCACTCTCTGTCCTACGTGGAGATGATGGGGTTTGAAGTTGGAACCCTTTCCGCATGCAGGGAAGAGCACAACAAGAGCCTGTTGGAACAGGCCAATGGCCTGTCTTGTCCGGCATCCTGTTCTCACAGTGGCCGATGGGAAACAGCAGAGTAGAGAATCACAGAACCATGGTGTCAGGGGACGGCCATCGGAACAGGGGAGGAAGGCAGGGGGGCTGCTGGGATACAGAGAGCCTCCGAAGCTCCTAAGGAGCAGCTCCTCTTTCAGTGATGGGAAAAGCCACACCTCCAGTGGAGAAGAGAGGGAAGGGGCCAGCCGAGCGAGGAAAAGGCTCGAGGATGCTCCTGAAAGCCCCAGCGCCTCACCTAGCCAGGCGGGCCAGGAGGGACGCACACCACTTCCATCGCCCAGCTTGCGCAGAGGGGTGAGACGCAAGGAGGGGAGGCGGAGGCTTGGGGTGCCGAAGTTCTTATGTTGGGGGAGAAGCCGGAAGGGGCCACTCCCGGATTCTGCAAGTGACTAAGACAGACATGAACTTTGTGTATCTGTACTGTAAACAGTTTGCACAATAAAACCTGTAAAAGACAGGTCGGAGTCCTGCCTGGTTACTCACGAGCAACCACCACACAGCATCTGACACACAGAACCGTAGAATTGGAAGGGACCCGAAGGTTCATCTAGTTCAACCCCCTGCAATGCAGGAATCTCAGCTCAAACATCCATGACAGATGGCCATCCAACCTCTGCTTAAAAAGTGCAAGGAAGGAGAATCCACCACATCCCGAGGGAGACCTTAGCAAAAGAGTGCTCTCTCCTCCTGTAGTTTTCAGCAACAAGGAGGCATGGAAAATGTCCAGCTTCTCTCAGGCCTTTGCCTAATTCTTTGGCTAACTCTCTCTCTCTCTCTCTCTCTCTCTCTCTGTGTGTGTGTGTGTGTGTGTGTGTGTGTCTGTTTGTTTCTTACTTACTACAATACTGTATGTACTGTTGTGTTTTTATATTGTAAACCACCCTTCATCTTTATATAGAAACAATAATACAGTAGTACCTTGGTTTTCGAAAATAATTCGTTCCGGAAGACAGTTCAACTTCCGAAACGTTCGGAAACCGAGGCGCAAAGGGCGGTCTGCAATATCATTGGGGGAAATTGGGGGGGGGGGAATTCAGCAGAAGCCATTTGACTTCCGAACAGCGTTCAAAAACGGAAGCAATGACTTCTGGGTTTCGGCGTTCGAAAACCGAAATGTCCGGCTTCCGAAAGACTCGAAAACTTGAGGTACCACTGTAATAAGAACAACAACAACATTTATAATTCAAAAGCATGACTGCTTCCAACCGTGGAGGCAAAACACAGCCATCGTGCCTAAAGGTAACGGTACCCCTGACCGATAGGTCTAGTTGCAGATGACTCTGGGGTTGCGGCGCTCATCTTGCTTTATTGGCCGAGGGAGCTGGCATACAGCTTCCGGGTCATGTGGCCAGCATGACTAAGCCGCTTCTGGTGAAACCAGAGCAGCGTATGGAAACACCGTTTACCTTCCCGCCGGAGTGGTACCTATTTATCTGCTTGCACTTTGATGTGCTTTCGAACTGCTAGGTTGGCAGGAGCAGGGACAGAACAACGGGAGCTCACCCCGTCATAGGGATTCGAACCACCGACCTTCCTAGGCTCTGTTGTTTAGACCACAGCGCCACCTGCGTTGGACTGCCTCCAACCGTGGAGGCAAAGCACAGGTATCATGCCTAGTAGCCATCAATATCTTTGCCCTCTGTGGATTTCCCTCATCGTCTTTTGAAGCCATCCAAGTTGGTGGCCATCACTCCCTCTTGTGGAAAGGTTTTCTGCAGTCCAGGTATGCGGGGAGCAGAAGCGAAGGCTCTGCCGCTGGGGATATAGGAACATATTCAGACCATTGGTCCATCTAGCTCCACATTGAAGATGCTCAAGAATGAGGTCAGGACCCTCTGAATGCCAAGGAGATGCTCTGCCGCTGAGTCATACCTCCTTAGTATACCCTCTGCATTTCAGATCGGGGCAGGGAAGGACTCTGAGGCCTTTAGCGCCCAAGGTCCTCTGCTGAGCTTTTGATGAAGACGATGCTTGAAATGGAGACTTCCAACCAGGGCCAGATTTACGTATAAGCTAACAAGCTACAGTGGTACCTCGGCTTAAGTACTTAATTCGTTCCGGAGGTCCGTTCTTAACCTGAAACTGTTCTTAACCTGAAGCACCACATTAGCTAATGGGGCCTCCTGCTGCTGCCGCGCAATTTCTGTTCTCAACCTGAAGCAAAGTTCTTAACCTGAAGCGCTATTTCTGGGTTAGCAGAGTCTGTAACCTGAAGCGTATGTAACCTGAAGTGTATGTAACCTGAGGTACCACTGTATAGCTTAGGGCTACCGCCAAAAACTACAGCATCAGTCTTGCCGTTTGCCGCGGCAACACTAAGTAACTTACACAATTTACATAATGAATTATAGAAATTGTGCAGCCTACTGTGGATGCTGGCCTGGTACAGCAGGTTCTTCTTTTAAGCACTGACCATTTTTTTCTCTGGGTTCCGCGTTCATCAGAATTCTCCAACTGCCCTCGCATCCAGCCAGTGCCGGATTTGCGTATAAGCTAAACAAGCTATAGCTTAGGGCCCCACTCTCTTGGGGGCCCCAAAAAATTAAAAGGGGAAAAAAGCTGGATGTACATTTCCAAAGATAAAAAACCAATAAAATAAACCCTACATACAGCAACAGTGTTTTGTGTTGTGTCAGCTCCTATGATGCAAGTAACCTGCTAGGCTGCTCCCTAAAATATCACTGGTTTGCTCATTTCTATATATAGGGTGCCTACATTCTGCATGTGGAAATGGCTTTAGATACCTACTAGGTCCATAAATTACCATATAGCATATATTAAAAACAAAAAAGCAGTGGCAATTTGTTGTTGACAAAGGACAGCTGGACATATAAAGGGCCCCGTTGCCTTCAGTAGCTTAGGGCCTCATCAAACCTAAATCCAGCCTGGCTTCCAACACTCTGAATGTCAAAGTCAGGAGAGGCGGGCGTTGCGAATCAGAAAACACACAGCAATCAAAAAGGCATTAGCTGAATCAGAGCCGCTGCCCAGAGGAAGAGAGCAGAGGAACTAAAATGCCCCAGTTCTTATCGTCTGTTTACATTCAAGAACTTTAATGAGTTTATCGCTTATCTCTCCCAAGAATGACTTGTGGGGTGTTGCTGTTTTTTGGACGGCTCTGCAGGGCAGGAGTGGAAGGAGCAGGCTGCCCTGCCCTAAGTATATTTCTAATTACTACTGTCAAAACTTTCAGGGGAAGATGGATTCCCTTGTTTTCTTACCCAAGGGAAAAATAGGTACCAGTGAGTTTCTGGTACAGGCATTGCGAAGGGCAGCTAAACGGACGAGGCAGGCATTGTTTGGGCATGGGAAGCAATGGAAAGGCCGGGGATTGCTGGCCAGCTGTCCTGGTATGGCAAAGAAACTTCACAGGAAACCCACACGACTAACGGGAGAACCCCACCCTAGTTTCCTTCTTACGTTTTGGTAGGAGCCGTGGGAATGCGGCTGCCTTCACATGTCTTCTAAAAGTCTGGTAGTTTTCTGTTTGACATCTGGTGGGAGGGTGTTCCACAGGGCGGGTGCCACTACCGAGAAGGCCCTCTGCCTGGTTCCCTGTAACTCGGCTTCTCACAGTGAAGGGACCTCAGTGTCCGGGTAGAACGGTGGGGGTGGAGACGCTCCTTCAGATATACTATACTATATACTATACTAATAGTTCATCTATCCAGAATAACTGTTCTGCTGTTTTCCGCTGGAGCGCCTATCACCGCTGCAGGACATTGACTACTGAAAGGCATCTTGTATACATTGCAGTGTGCTTTGATAGTGACTGTCTACGCTTAACTTTTCGGTTTAATGAACTTTAAAACACTGCACATGTACAGATGCTACCTGGGCAGGTGGAGCGCAAGGAGACGTGCCCGTTAAGGGAGTCCTAGGGAAGCCTTTTTTCGAGAAACCAGGGCCTAAGGAATTCCATCCGCGATAAGCCAGAGCATACTTGGAAACTTTGGCCACGCTGCACATCGCACAACTATATCCCAGAGGCTTAGGAGCCAATGCCAGCCACCCTTCAGAAAGAAATGCAGATATACTCACTGATCGATGGATCTTGATAATATCGCGGACAAAGTCAGAAGAATGCACCCGTACGGACCAGCTTCAAACTGGGAGGGAAGGAAGGGAAGAAGGTCAAGGTTCTCAGCTGGAAGGCGTACCTTTCAAACTAGTCTTTCGCAGCAGAACCAAAAATGCATCCATTTATGTTATTTAAAAAATAATTTTTGTGTTAAATTGCAAGGTGGTGGTGCTGACCGAGTGGAACAGGACCGCCAACTATCCTTTTGGCAGATACTTTGGTTTCATCTTAAAAAATGTAAAGGTAATTATGTTGGTGCTTAAGAAAAGAATCCCAAACCCACAAACCTCTCCTGGTATGCCCCACGGAGGACCTTAAGGTCCACAAATAACAACACTTTGGAGGTCCCTAGCCGCAAGGTGGTTAGATTGGTCTCAACTAGGGCCAGGGCCTTTTCAGTACTGGCCCCGACTTGGTGGAGCGCTCTGTCACAAGAGACTTGAGCCCTGTGGGACTTGTCATTTTTCCACTGGCCCTGCAAGACAGAGCTGTTCCACCTGGCATTTGGTTTGGACTCAGTCTGACCCTTATATTTCCCTCCCCTTATGGTTTTGATCTATGGGCTACTTTTTAAATGAGGCTGCATTTTAAATTGCATTTTAAACCTGTATTTTAAATTGGTTTCCCCCCCCCATTATGTTTTTACTGTAATTTTACTGGTGTTAGCTGCCCTGAGCCCAGCTCTGGCCGGGGAGGATGGGGTATAAATAAAGATGATGATGATGATTAAACACAGGTGGCCTTGTGGACTAAACCACTGAGCCTCTTGGGCTTGCTGATCAGAAGATCAGCGGTTCGAATCCCTGCAACGGGGTGAGCTCCCGTTGCTCGGTCCCTGCACCTGCCCACCTAGCAGTTCGAAAGCACGTCAAAGTGCAAGTAGATAAATAGGTACCACTCCGGTGGGAAGGTAAATGGCATTTCTGTGTGCTGCTCTGGTTTCACCAGAAGCGGCTTAGTCATGCTGGCCACATGACCCGGAAAGCTGTCTGTGGACAAACGCCGGCTCCCTCAGCCTGAAAGCGAGATGAGTGCCGCAACCCCATAGTCACCTTTGACTAGACTTAACCACTCGGGGTCATTTATCTTACCTTTCTCAGACCCATTGAAAAGAATGGACATGACTAAGTTAGGTCCATTGATTTCACTAGGTCTACTCTTAAGCAAAACTGTGAACTACCACCCGATATTAGGCCAACCAAAATATCACAATATTTATTATGATGATTGATTGGGGGGGGGGTTGAATTTATTTTGTACTGATGTAGAATTGGGAGTTGGTCTGTAAGTCATTTTTGGAGTCCCTGCCAAACCTGTGATTTTAGAAATATAGGGAGCTGCCTTATACCAAGGCAGAATGTTTGGTCTGTCTTGCTCAGAATAGCTTACTCTGACTTGGCAGAGGCTGTCCAGGATTTCTGGCAGGCAGCCTCTCCTAACCCTGCCTGGAGACTTCAGGGGTTGAACCAGTAAGCTCTTGCTTGCAAAGCAGACATTCTGCCTCTAAGCTATGGACCTTCCCAGAATTCTGTACCTGGAAGATGAGATTTTGTAGAAGCAGAGACAGCTAAAGGGGTCAAATCCAGTCTCTTTGACAAGTTACTGTCGCCAGCCAAGTCTGCTCCATAGAAACTTGCTAACTGAAGATTATAGAAGACAAACTAAAAGAAAGCAGGTCTTCCTCCTTTTCTTAGCTGGAGGTAAAGCCACCAAGGTAGAATTGTAGAATCACAGTTATTTATTGGGACAGTGTGATTTTTGCAGCTGCTGTAAAAAGTTGCAAAACAACGAAACACAGGGCAGAGCAATGGAGAATTTCTGAAACAACATTGGGATATCAGCTCTGCCCAAGGCAGGACGCAGAACAGCAACAACCAGGAAAAGATAGATATAACATTTTACAAGGACAGGAAGAAACATCACAGACAGAATAGTTGGCACACACAGGAAGAACAAGGATATAGTTTGAGTGCCTCACTTGTAGTTTTATGAATCATGTAAGGCAACGTGCAAATGGAAATAAATGCTCTGAACAAGTGTGCGTGAGAAAAATGACGCTGCGATTGAGAACCGGACCGGGCCGAGATTCGTACCTGATGAATATTTTGTTGCAGGAACCTCAGCAGGTCTTCGTAACTTGTGGCAACGTGCAACATCAGCTGCGAAAAGAAGAAAAAAGCATGGGGGGGGGGGGAATTCAGGTCAAAATACAACAGGAACATCCAGCCAAGGTCTAAGTGAAAAATCCCAAACAGAGAGAGAGAGATAGGATTACTGTCATGTGTAGCAAAGAGTTTCTCCTGGTGGAGACAGGCGTTCTGCTACGTATTGGGGTCCTGAGGCTTTCTAAAGGTAAAGGTAAAGGGGACCCTGACCATTAGGTCCAGTCGTGACCGACTCTAGGGGTGCGGCACTCATCTCGCTTAACTGGCCGAGGGAGCCGGCGTTTGTCTGCAGACAGTTTTTCCGGGTCATGTGGCCAGCATGACTAAGCCGCTTCTGGCAACCCAGAGCAGCACACGGAAACACCGTTTACCTTCCCGCCAGAGTGGTACCTGTTTATCTACTTGCAGTTCGATGTGCTTTCAAACTGCTAGGTTGGCAGGAGCAGGGACCAAGCAACGGGAGCTCACCCCGTCACGGGGATTCGAACCGCCGACCTTCCGATCGGCAAGCCCTAGGCTTAGTGGTTTAGACCATAGCGCCACCCGCGTCCCCTATGGACAATGTGGATAGATACAAAACAGAGACTATGAAATAATATGCAGTTGGAAGTGTTGACAACAGGACCCACAGAGTGGATGTGGGGGGGGGGAGTAGTGAGATTCAGAGAAATCTCGTTTTACGGATACGTATTTGGTACTGTAACTAATTCTCATTTGTAAAATCAATTAAAAATGACACCCCCCTTCAAAAAAGCAGAAATGTGGCTCAAATGGGTTAAGGAGAAGGCTTAGTGGAGCTTTGAAGAAGGGGGGGGGGTGGGTCCCGGAATAACGTACAAGAGCCCGGGAAGCTGCCTGGTCAGGTGAGACAATTTGTCTGCCTAACCCAAGATAGTCTCTGACCAGCCACAACTCCCCAGTGTCTCAAGTGGGGGGGGGGGCTTTCCCATCACCTGGGACCCTCTGAAGACGGAAAGCCCTGAACTATGGTCCCTCTCTTTCTCTTTCTCTTTCTCTCTCTCCCCCCTGCTTTTTGAGATGGTCGGGAGATGTAGGACTGATGAGGATCCTCTGTTGAGGAGGTGGAACGCGAAGCTCCGCGGCTCCCCAGGGAGGCTTAAATTGAAACGCCTTGTATTTTTCATGACGTTCATTCCACAAGAACGATCTTTCCGGTTCATTATTGTTTTGATCTCATCTCCGCTCTGCTCAGTTTGGGGCTTGCTGCACGGGTTTTGTGCAAACACGTATATTGGAGTCCCGGTGTCAAGGTTTCTGTTTGTTTTTTTAAAATGCTTTTTATTGATTTTCCAAAACAAAAATAAACAAAGCATATACTCTTACATTCAACATTTTTGTGTCTTCTTATTTACCATGTGCGCTATTGCGCCCAGACTTCCTTCCTTCCCTACATCGGCTTTCACAATTAACATGCTCTCTTACAGATTCTTATTTACACGTCACAAGATTTATATTAACCCTGCTACAGTCTTTAAGCTTCTACAATTATTCTGTATGTACTCAACAAATTTATTCCACTCCTCTCTGAACTTTGTAACATTTTGGTTCCGAATCTTATAGGTCATTTTCGCCTATTCTACGTATTCAAACATTTTCGTCTGCCACTCCATTAAAGTTGGGATTTCCTGGGTTTTCCATTTCTGAGCCACTAGAATCCTAGCGGTGGTCGTGGCGTACATAAATAATTTATGGTTTGTTTTTTAACTGTTCTGTAATGTTTTATGCCTCTTCCCTACCCTAACAGCAGCCCCGCCGGAAGAAAGGGAATTTGGGTCCCCTCTTTTTTGGGAAAACAGACACACACAACCACACCCTCCCAGGACTCTGGAAATAACTGTCGAGTGGCTAAACCCCAGATTTGCTGAACCATGCTCTGGCTTCTCAGCTTTTGCCAGACACTGACCACATATTTCCCGGTTCTGTTCTTGTTGCCGTTAAGGGCTAGAAGCATGCATTTCAAGTTTGATGGATAGCAGGGATTCTCAAGATTCCGAGAGCGCAAATCCCACATGCACAAGTTTGCAAATTCCACACGTGCAGAATAGAGTACAGTGGTACCTCGGGTCTCAAACTTAATCCGTTCCGGAAGTCCGCTCCAAAACCCAAGCGTTCCAAAACCAAGGCATGCTTTCCCATAGAAAGTAATGCAAAACGGATTAATCCATTCCAGACTTTTAAAAACAACCCCTAAAATGGCAATTTAACATGAATTTTACTATCTAACGAGACCATTGGTCCATAAAATGAAAGCAATAAACAGTGCACTGCAGCCACACAATCAATCAATCAGTAGCTGAACTGGGTTCCACAGTGTCACAAAAACAAAAAAGCTGCAAAACAAATAGGAAAAAGAGACAGACCTCAGTGTAAGACTCAAAACGGAAGTGCGTCACTCAAATCGGAAGTGAAACACTCAAAACGGAGCACGTTCAGCTTGCAGGAAAAGTTCTCAAACTGGAACACTTTACTTCCGGGTTTGCAGTGTTTGGGTTCTAAGTTGTTTGAGTACCAAGGCGTTTGAGAACCAAGGTACCACTGTATGCTATTTCTAACTACAAAGCAGAAACATATACCAAAGAAAGGTCCCTGCATTGCAGGGGGTTGGACTAGATGACCCCTCAGGGTCTCTTCCAACTTTCTACAATTCTACGAAAGGTTGAGGGCGGGTGGAGGACACTTCTGGCTAAAACATTACCGTTTCCAAGATCCCATCTGCTTTGTATTTCCCTACAGGAGTGAACTGCTGCGTTCCAGTGCACCTAAAAAGAACAGAACAACAAAAGATCTGAAGAAGGAAAACAGCCGATGAGGAGCCCCGTTCGCTAAGGGCAGGAGTCATTAAAGGACTGTGCCCTTTGCATCCAGGGTCAATATTTGGCAGGGGCTGGAGGAGCAACTAGAGTCTGGAATCTCTCCCCACTCGATACTTTCCCAGGGAAGAGGAAAACGGCAATCCCATGTGCTTTTGTCCTTCAGATTTTCTTTAAATAGGAACCTCAGAGGTTGGGAAAACATCCTCTCCTCTGAGCGACACCACTGGTCCAAGTATGGTCCAAAGACCTACCAAAGCTGTTATAAGGTTTTTCTATGGAAAAGGGGGCCAATATATCCTGGCAGCCTCCCATGTCTTTGCTGCAATACACACACACACACACACACACACACACAGTTTTTTTAATATATCATTTTCAACAGTAATTAAACATACATGATTAGTCCTTGCTGCAAAAATAATTAATTTGCTGCAAAAAATATTAACAGAACTGACACATTCTGACTGATTCTGCTACTGCCAATGAGCAACAAGGGCCTCTCCCTGAAAACAGCAGCACGGGCTCCACGCTGCAACCTTTTGTTGCAGCGCTCGCCGCTGCAGTTTCATAAACGGACGATTGCTACGTGTGCAGAGTGGGCGCGGTTGTCACAATGCTCTGTGCAACTTTTGCAAACATACCAGGGTGGGTGGGTGCGTTTTCCAAATTAGGAGCAGATGTGAAAGGCACCAAAAAATCTTTGGGACTTGAGTGGTGCGGAGCGGCTAGGATTAAACCTTCTCTCCCTTGCTGCGGTCCTAATGAAGAACACCACTCCCTGCGGCTGCTGTTAACTAAGAGAGGGAAAACCCAAGGGATTTTCACGTAGCATCCCGCCTGGTTTGGCGTGCTCCGACATGCACAATATTTCCCCGTATCTTCCCGGGGTGGAAAATCGGTAAGGGAGGCCGAGCTGTCTCTGAAGGAAGCTGGCCCTCTATTATCAGGATCTTTATTGATGAAATGTGCGAAAATCGGTGGCTTAAGGAGGGCGTTGTCGGAAGGGGGCGGGAAAGGGAGGAGGTCTGCTCAAACTTTCCGAAAACACATCTTCCACTTACAAGGCAATCGTGGCTTTCCTGCGGCCACCTCCGCGCCACAAAATGCCGGCGATGGCCAGAGCGAGGCACTGGGTTCTGGTAGCCGCCGACACTTGGAGGCACTGCCTGGTTCAAGACAAAAAGAGATAGCAAGGAGTCACCGGCAGCAATCGTTGCAATGGGAGAAATGAAATGGGCAATGAACAGGGAGGACCATTCTGCAGTGAACATAGGAATAATAATAATAATAATAATAATAATAATAATAATAATAATAATTTATTATTTATACCCCGCCCATCTGGCTGAGTTTCCCCAGCCACTCTGGGCGGCTCCCAATCAAGTGTTAAAAACAGTACAGCGTTAAATATTAAAAACTTCCCTGAACAGAGCTGCCTTCAGATGTCTTTTAAAGAGAAGATAGCTGCTTATTTCCTTGACATCTGAAGGGAGGGTGTCCCACAGGGTGGGCGCCACTACCAAGAAGGCCCTCTGCCTGGTTCCCTGTAACCTCACTTCTCGCAGCGAGGGAACCACCAGAAGGCCCTCAGAGCTGGATCTCAGCGTCCAGGCTGAACGATGGGGGTGGAGATGCTTCTTCAGGTATACTGGGCTGAGGCCGTTTAGGGCTTTAAAAGTCAGCACCAACACTTTGAATTGTGCTCAGAAACATACTGGGAGCTAATGCAGATCTCTCAGGACCAGTGTTATGTGGTCCCGGTGGCCACTCCCAGTCACCAATCCAGCTGCTGCATTCTGGATTAATTGCAGTTTCCGGGTCACCTTCAAAGGTAGCCCCACGTAGAGCGCATTGCAGTAGTCCAAGCGGGAGATAACAAGAGCATGCACCTCTCTGGCGAGACAGTCCGTGGACAGGTAGGGTCTTAGCCTGTGTACCAGCCTGCGTAGAAAGCTGCCTTCTGCCAAGTCAGCTCATTGGCCCCTGTAGCTCAATAATGCCTACACTGACTGGCAGCAGCTGTTCTGCAGGGCTTCCGATGGAGAACATTCCCAGCTCTTCCAGGATCTGCTGGGATTCCAATATTAAATTCCGATCCCCTCAGTTCACATGAAAACACACCAGCATTTTAGTGTGAATTTCTAATAATATAAACATATTTTTTTTCGTATTTCCTCCCAGATTTTTCAAAGCAATTTTTGCCTCTTGTTCCTTATTTTCACAAATATGCATATTTTATTTGCATGCTTTCCTCTCCTAGTATATGCACTTTTGTTACACATTGTAAAGGTAAAGGTAAATGTTACACATTTTAAAGGTAAATGGCAGATGAAGGTGATGGATTACATGGAATTAGCGGAAATGACCGGCAGGATCCGAGACCAGGGGGAGGAGTCGGTGGAAGAAGACTGGAAGAAATTTAAAGATTATTTACAGAGACACTGTAAAATTAATGAACTTTAGAATAATGTTGGATTGAAATTAAGTGGTTTCTAACTGTAATGGGTTAAAAGAATATGAAAAAATGGGTTTATAAAAGTAAAATTTTAAGATCACAACAATTTAAGAATAAAGATTTGGGTAGAATAAAGAGGGAAACAAATTGCTGAGCTAATAAATTGAATTGGAATACAAAAAAGAGAGGTATGAGGAGGTCCGAGAAACAAGTAAATGAAAAATAATGTGATGGAAAGATTGATTGTTTTTAACAATTTTTATTCTGTATTTCTTCTTTTTTTCTTTTTCTTTTATTTTTTGTAATGTAAAAATCTTAATAAAAATCTTATATATATATATATAAAGGTAAAGGTAAAGGTCCTGACCATTAGGTCCAGTCGTGGCCGACTCTGGGGTTGCGGCGCTCATCTCGCTTTATTGGCCGAGCTTCCGGGTCATGTGGCCAGCATGACTAAGCCACTTCTGGCGAAACCAGAACAGCACACGGAAACGCCGTTTACCTTCCCGCTGGAGCGGTACCTATTTATCTACTTGCACTTTGATGTGCTTTCGAACTGCTAGGTTGGTAGGAGCAGGGACCGAGTAACGGGAGCTCACCCTGTCATTGGGATTCGAACCGCCGACCTTCTGATCGGCAAGCCCAAGAGACTCAGTGGTTTAACCCACAGTGCCACCACGTACTTGGCTGCAAAACTGTGTTGCAAAATTCAGAGAGGTGCAAATTTCAAAAGAAGGCAATGTTTCAGTTTCCATATTGTTTTGGACCGTAAATTAGGTCAGTTCACATTTAACTGTGAACTGGATTCTATTTCTCCCCCATCTCTACCTGAGAATGTAAGTTCCACTGAACACAGCAGGGCTTCCTTCTGAGTAAACACGCAAAGGATTATGCTGTAGGAGAAATTGCAGTCTGTACACCTCTTCCTTCCTCTACACCACCAATAAGCTGTATGTGTTGAAATGTCCTCTTCTGAGCCACACTCTCATTAGAGGCTGTTCTAGGGGAGAGCCAAGCAGCCAATTCTCTCACATATCAGTCTTGCTGTTGCTCAAACATTGGTAGACACCATTCTGGTTCATGCAGAATACTCTCTCTTTTTTAACATAATTTTTATTTTATTTTACAAGTATAAAATTAGAAAAATAACATAGCATACCCACAATTAAGAGATTTCTCCAAATCTCTGGACTTCCCACCATCCCTTCCATGGGCTCTGCTATTAAATCTTTTCTACTGCATCTTTTTCTATACAATCACACCTTGCTTGTCGAACGGCATCCATTCCAGAAGTCCATTCCACTTCTGAAAACGTTCGAAAAACAAGGCACAGCTTCCGATTGGCTGCAGGAGTTTCCTGAATTCAATCGGAATCTGTGCAAACCATGTCAGACGTTCGGCTTCCAAAGAACGTTTGCAAACCAGAATACTCACTTTGTGGTGTTCGGGAGCCAAAACGGATGAGTACCAAGGCGTTCAACAACCAAGGTACGACTGTGCTCCCTAGTATTATTATTATTAAAAACTTCATTATCTCCAGAATACCCGTTACATTACAAGTGTTATTGCAACCCTGCTAATGTTTTCATCTGTTTGCAGTGCAGTTTTTTCAAACAGATGAAGCAAAACTTCACATTTAAATTGCACGCAATTTGTATGTACCGTATTTTTTCGCTCTATAAGATGCACCAGACCACAAGACGCACCTAGTTTTTGGAGGAGGAAAACAAGAAAAAAAAATTCTGAATCTCAGAAGCCAGAACAGCAAGAGAGATCGCTGCGCAGTGAAAGCAACAATCCCTCTTGCTGTTCCGGCTTCTGTGATAGCCGCACAGCCTGCATTCGCTCCATAAGACACACACATATTTCCCCTTACTTTTTAGGAGGGAAAAAGTGAGTCTTATAGAGCAAAAAATACGGTACTTTCTACACAAGGTGCACACTTGAAAAGAATTGCTAACGTACACACAATTTGACACATTTGGTTGCAAAATGCAAATTTTGCACGCATCTTTGGCACGCAATATGCCTTTGTATGCACTGAAACAAAATCTTGAGAGGTGCAGAAACCGACAGGGGAGCCGGCCGTGTCATGATCTGCAAGCAACCTCTGCGATGGCCGCACAAACTCCTCTTCCTTAATGCCCTTTCCATTTTAGATCTTCGGTTCAAAGAACGACACTCCCTTTTCAAAGGAGGCCGATTGATTTCTATGAGAGGCGGCCGGGCGAGCAAAGTGTCGGCTTGCAGAGCACGATGGCAGATGTCTGGAAATAGCTGATGGGTTCAGATCGGGAGGGAAAGGAAGTACTTAGCATAAAGGTTAAAAGCAGAGAGAAGACATTAGGAAAGGGCCGTTTCGGGCCAGATATTGGAAAACGACCCCGCCCTGGACAACGAGTTCCGTAGGATGCAGAAGAATGTACTTTGGCTAGGGCAAAGGAGACCCCAAGGGGGACATTTTGTGGAATGGCTGAGAGGGGAAGAAAAACCAAAACAAATGAACATTATGATAATGATGGGCTGATGACTCCTGATTGTAACCCATAAGCTTAGGAGTGGGAGGCTTTAGGTTGTCCCTCGCGGCCAGGGTTTCAACATACCACTCAGCCCCCAGAATTGAAAGCAGAGGCGGAGAAATGCAGAAACTGAAAAATAATTCAAAGCCTTAAACAGCTTTGGCCCTGTATACCTGAAGGAGCATCTCCACCCCCAGCGTTCAGCCCGGACACCAAGGTCCAGCTCCGAGGACCTTCTGACTGTTCCCTCACTGCAAGATGTGAGGTTACAGGGAACCAGGCACAGGGCCTTCTTGGTAGTGGCGTCCGCTCTATGGAGCACCCTCCCATCAGATGGCAAAGAGATAAGCAATTATACGACTTTCTTTAGACATCTGAAGGCAGCCTTGTGTCAGGAAGTTTATATGTGTTTGATGTTTCATTGTGTTTTTGTGTATGTTGAAAGCCGCCCAGAGCCGCTGGTGTAATCCAATCAGATGGGCGGGGTACAAATAATAAAAATATTATTATTCTTCATCCCAGGCTGATGACAGTTTGAGCTCATGATTTGGGAGAGGAGTAGTGACCGGCAGAGAAGTGAGCCGTAGGACTTGCACCTGCTCCCACCTGCTAAATTTTGGATATTCGCCATGTCAACACCTGCCCAAGTGGGTCCCTATTGGATGCAATCCATCTGATGCAGGTAGGCTAGTCTTTGCCAACCTGGTAGCCTCCAGTAAGCCCAGCCAACCCAACTCAACTGCCCAACTGGTGCTTGGCCTGCAAGGCTATTGATCTGACCCCTGGCACTGTGTCCTTAAATGCTCCCAAGAAGCACCCAAAATAGCTGTGGGTGACATAAGATCTTGCTTCCTCTTTCCTCGCCCGTAAGTGACCAACACCAAGAAGTGCCCAGATTAGCTGTGAGTGATGTAAGGTTTCGCTTCGCCTTTATCTGCTTCCCTGCAAGTCACCAACACCCTTCCGAGGAGACATCCCACACTGTCCCAAAGGCAGAGGAAGAACGCCAAAGGACTCTCTTTCATGTCTGATGCTTTGATTTGATGTTTAGTCTTCTCAAATGGGGAGATCTTTTGAGCAGACCAGCAGTGGGAACACTGAGAAGACTTATCTCTCACAGAGAGGCCTGCTATTGTCTAAAATTCCAAATGGCGTCTTCATCTGAAATGCGGATGTTTCAGATTTAGAATGTGCGTGGAAGGGATTTTGATCTTATCCCCCTTTCGGTTTACTTCAGGGGGGTGAGTATTGGGAGCGACATTGCAGCCCTGATGAATTAAACCAATTTAATTTTGCTTCATTCTTAAGGAAATCATTCTGAAGGAAATCATTCTGAAGGAAATCAGCCCTGAGTGCTCACTGGAAGGACAGATCCTGAAGCTGAGGCTCCAATACTTTGGCCACCTCATGAGAAGAGAAGACTCCCTGGAAAAGACCCTGATGTTGGGAAAGATGGAGGGCACAAGGAGAAGGGGACAACAGAGGACGAGATGGCTAGACAGTGTTCTCGAAGCTACCAGCATGAGTTTAACCAAACTGCGGGAGGCCGTGGAAGACAGGAGTGCCTGGTGTGCTGTGGTCCATGGGGTCACGAAGAGTCGGACACCACTAAACAACTAAACAAACAATTTTGCTTTTCTTTCATCTCAGGTCAGGAGCTGCATTTGATGGGAGGACCAGAAATGGTCAGGAATGACCTCCTTCCCTCAAAATAACCAGCTGCCAAGACCATCTTCATATACACCAGGCACAGGCAAACTCAGCCCTCCAGATATTTTGGGACTACAACCCCCATCATCCATGACCACTGGTCCTGCTAGGGATGATGGGAGTTGTAGTCCCAAAACATCTGGAGGGCTGAGTTTGCCTATGTCTGATATGCACTGTTCCTCCACAGCCCACTTCCCTCCTCCAAGGTCGGTAAAGGAAGGAGACAGGTGATATTATTATTCAGTGGGGCAGCTTTGGTCCATGGGCTAATTGCTGCTGACCCCTAACCATAAAAATGGACACCCTTCAGCATCTCAAAAATTGCAAACTCGCTTTCTGAGTAAACCTTGAACGGGAAGCCTTGCATTTTGGAAAGGCACCCTGATAAAAGTGTTGTTGTTGTTGTTGTTGTTTAGACGTTTAGTTGTGTCCGACTCTTTGTGACTGTCCAACCAAGCTGTCCAACCATCTCGTCCTCTGTCGTCCCCTTTTCTTTGTGCCCTCCATCTTTCCCAACATCAGGGTCTTTTCCAGGGAGTCTTCTCTTCTCATGAAGTGGCCAAAGTATTGGAGCCTCAGCTTCACGATCTGTCCTTCCAGTGAGCACTCAGGGCTGATTTCCTTCAGAATGGATCGGTTTGATCTTCTTGCAGTCCATGGGACTTTCAAGAGTCTCCTCCAGCACCATAATTCAAAAGCATCCGTTCTTCGGCGATCAGCCTTCTTTATGGTCCAGCTCTCACTTCCATACATCACTACTGGGTAAACCGTAGCTTAGGTATTCATTATTTTAATCGGGAGGAGTTAGCAGTCAGCAGCAGTCAAACTTAGCTCATTGCAGCTTCTGGGAGCTCATGGCCGAGAGTTGCAAACAGGCCTCTCAAACGGGGGCATTTGCAAGGGCATTTTGCAGGGGAGTTTAAGGGGGAGGCAGAGAGTACTGTCTCACAGTGTACATAGGGCCAAGAGACATGGGTTTGGGGGAAACTGATGCAGTGGCCTGCCAACACCTGTGCCATGTTTGTGCATGCAGAACGTGTTTGTGCACTTGTGCACAGTGACACACTGCTTCTGCATAGGGTCCGTCTGGCTTCCTAGCCCTCCCCAAACGCACCCGGCCTGTCACGAACAACGTGTGTTTTGCAAGTGCAAAAATACATGGGGCTTGACCCTCAAGGACGGTGTCCATTACCCTCTCAGTCAACACAGGCGCTGCAATTTGGACTTTATCTCCCGTTAATGAGGTCAAGACCAGGAAGACCCCTTTTCCCCTTCCAACAATAGAGGGGGATTAGCGTTCAGCTCAGGGTGGAAAACAGGCCCGCTCTCACCAGCGTCGACTCACCACGTATCGCTGTTCCTGCTGCTGTCTCCAAAGATAAGATGTCGCAGGAGGCAGGCTTGGACTACTGCCAGGACCCCGCACGGCCCACCCTAGACAGCGGCAAAAGGCAAGGGACGGAGAAAAACAATGAGCGCCGTTTGAAGCTGGTGAGAAGCTCGCACAGGCTGTAAGCCTCTTCAGCTCCACCTAGTCTCCTGCCTCTTGTTTCCCTTTGTTTTCTGTGTTTTTAACCGCTGTGGCCCAAATGTCGTGGACGTTGCAACCGGCTGAAAATTCTGCGCTTGTAATTAAAAGGTTGCGTCCCTGGATGTTTTCCCGGAGACGAAAACCTCAGAACAGTATGCGTAGGCGATGCCAAGATCTGGAGCATGTGGTTGATTTGTTCTGTCGTCGGGGGGTGAAGCAGGGGTCTGATTTCTCTCGGTGGCCTGGGAGCAAACGGCTGGAGCAAAAGAGCTCAAATATCCCGGCCAGGAGGAGATTCGAACCCTGGTCTCCCCGTCTGTATCCTCCTAAGTCTTACTCTTAAAGGTAAAGGGGACCCCTGACCATTAGGTCCAGTCGTGACTGACTCTGGGGTTGCGATGCTCATCTTGCTTTACTGGCCGAGGAAGCCAGCGTACAGCTTCCGGATCATGTGGCCAGCATGACTAAGCCGCTTCTGGCGAACCAGAGCAGCACACGGAAACGCCGTTTACCTTCCTGCCAGAGTGGTACCTATTTATCTGCTTGCACTTGACGTGCTTTCGAACTGCTAGGTTGGCAGGAGCAGGGACCGAGCAACGGGAGCTCACCCCGTCATGGGGATTCGAACCGCCGACCTGATCGGCAAGTCCTAGGCTCTGTGGTTTAACCCACAGTGCCACCTGTGTCCCTATTCCGTCCCCTCCAATATTTCTCCAGTGAAAATAGGGACATCCTATTCCATCCCCTCCACATTTCTCCAAGTCTTACTCTTAGGAGGTCGGTAATGGATCCACAGACTTGAGCACATGGGACACTGATACGAAGTCCTCTTCCTTAAGGCAGCCAACTGGGCAATGTTTGGAGGGTTCAGACTGGGAGACCAGGGTTCGAATCTCCACCTGGCCAGTGCGCTCACTGGGTGATCTTGGGCCCATCACTATCTCTCAGCCTAACCCACCTCACCAAGGCTGTTGTGGGGGTTAAATAAGGAGAGGGGAGAACCACGCACGCCCCCTCGAGCTACTTGGAGGAAAAGGTGGGGCATAAATGCAATAATCAAATAATAAACATATAAACAAACAACAAACAGGCTGTGGAGATGCAAAAGCATATGTCTGGAGATCACACAATTAAAAAAAATATCCATTGCTTTCACGAGGAAATGTTTATAAATGGGTTTTTTTAGGATGTGTTAGGTTGGCTGGCCAAAGAGTGAAAAACTATTTCGTTTCATAAGCGATCGCCACAATCCTAAATGGAACAGAGGTGGCAAATCTCTGCCCCACTCCAGGTACTGCTGGACCCCCAACTACCACCAGCCCTACCCAGAATGGCCAGCTGCCAGGGATCATGGGAGCTGAGGTCTAGAAATACACGGAGCACGATTCTGCTCTGTGCATGAATATTCAGTGGGGAATGACTGAACGGAACTTTCTGTGTCCTGAAGTCGCAGGTGATCTGCTCTTGTCCCAGAAGTGGGATCGGTGCATCAGGAATTCTGCGCATGAACTGTTTGCCACAGCTTCCGGTTCCTTCAGCTGCTTTACTCATCCCCTGCCCCCAACTATATGACCGAGGGCACGAGTCTGCATTGCTGCCAAAGAGCAAAGACAGTCTTTCGTGAGGTCACCAGTACAGTCGCATCAAGATGTGCGGTGATTTATGCACAAGCACAATTGACCGAGCCTAGTGTTCCGTCCAGATGAAAGTCTCCTTGCACACTATTACACTAGCGCCATTCCTACGGGACTGGCCTAGGACAGCGCCCCCCTTCCCCCCATAAATTATGCCCCCAGTGGCTTCGAAATCCTGCCTCCAGGCTTTACCTTTTTCTGTACAATGCCATACTTCAGCTGAGGGTTGTCGTTAAAGATAAAGCTCTGTATTTTCCATTCCTCGCTGAAGCAGCCGAGGCTGGAGCCAAACAAAAGGATCTTCAGGTCCTTGATTTAAACGAGGAGGGGAAACATGAGATTAAGAATTAAAAAAAGGGAAGGACAGACCTCCTGTTCTTTTTGAAATCTAATTCTTCACTCTGGGGGGTGCACACAAACTACCAACAAATAAATTTTCAGGGACGGCCCAAGGGCACATGCGTGATCCAGACAGTTAGGATTCCAGCCAGCCACGCCCTATTTCAGGGAACTCCATTCCATTTTCTCTTCCCCTGCATTATAAACCCCCCTGTCAGCATTCTGAGCCCCCTGGTTCCTGCAGGGATTTCCAAGCAGGAAGGAGAAACCCAGTGGCACGCTGCCCGAGCCTGTCTCGCCACACTCGTAAATTTAATAAAAATAAATGGCGTATACAGTTGTCCTGATTAACCCGAGGAGTCGTTTTTTCCTTCCCTCGCAATGTTCCTTCAGCATAAATGGCTCTGTGTGTGTGTGTGTGTGTCACTGCAACAGAATGAGGCTTTTTGGCTGCAGACCCACTTGGGACTCAACCAGTCTTCCATTATCTTCGGGAAGGCTGTGCCAAGCCTAATTGTTAAAAGAAAATGGAACCCACTGCAGCTTGGGGGGGGGGAGGCAGATAATTAATTTGAAAAGTTGAAAAGCATATTTTTTTCCCCAGGGTATTTGTGGGCCTTGCTATCAAAATATTACAGCGTGGAGCACTCCTGCTCAGGATGGGTTCCACCAGTTTGGCTACAACATTGGCTCCCAGTATGTTTCTGAGCACAATTCAAAGTGTTGGTGCTGACCTTGAAAGCCCTAAACGGCCTCAGCCCAGTAAGTGGTACCTCAGGTTAAGAACTTAATTCATTCTGGAGGTCCGTTCTTAACCTGAAACTGTTCTTAACCTGAAGCACCACTTTAGCTAATGGGGCCTCCCGCTGCCGCCGCTGTGCGATTTTTGTTCTCATCCTAAAGCAAAGTTCTTAACCCGAGGTACTATTTCTGGGTTAGTGGAGTCTGTAACCTGAAGCGTCTGTAACCAGAAGCGTCTGTAACCCGAGGTATCACTGTATACCTGAAGGAGCGCCTCCACCCCCATTGTTCTGCCCAGACACTGAGGTCCAGCTTGAGGGCCTTCTGGCGGTTCCCTTACTGTAAGACGTGAGGTTACAGGGAACCAAGCAGAGGGCCTTCTCGGTAGTGGCACCCGCCCTGTGGAACTCCCTCCCACCAGATGTCAAAGAAATAAACAACCACCTGACATTTAGAAGACACCTGAAGACAGCCCTGTTTAGGGAAGTTTAAATGACTGATGCTTTAATGTATATTTAATCTTTTGTTGGAAGCTGCCCAGAGTGGCTGGGAAAACCCAGCCAGATGGATGGGGTATAAATATTTTGTTGTTGTTGTTGTTGTTGCTGCTGCTGCCAGATGGACAGGGTATAAATATTATGTCGTTGTTGTTGTTGTTAAAATATGGTATTAAAATCAGCTTAAAACACTTTGCAGTCAAAGAGAATAGGTGAATCTTGAAAGGCAGGGTAAATGAAGAAGGCTAAGTTAAAGAGATGCATCTTCAGCGTAAGACAGAATTTGTGCAATGAAGGTGACAGCCAACTTTTGAAGAACCTCTCTCCAAAGAGCTGGGCCTGAGACCTCCTAAATGTTGACCACACTGGGCTAGATCTGAGGGTGCTGGTCTGCTTCCATGTACAGCAAGAGTCATTCGGCCTTTCCAACAGAATGTTCTGCATTGGCCACATCAATGTGTTTCTTACCCTTGCAAGATAGTAGTCAATGGGCTTTGATGTTACTTGGACAGCATACAGAGCAGAAGAGTTGGGGATCATGTAGACGTCCTCCAAATTTTCTTCGTCCTCAACATCAACTGCGGAGGGCAAAGGAAAGGCTGTTTAATATCCAGAACACATACTCAGAAACATGCAACCCCAAAACATTAGCTTTTGTGGCTTTGGCAATTGAAGGCGCCCTCCGTTCTCTTCCAGTCTTTAAAGATTTGTTCCGTCTACATATCTGTCGCGGCTGAAGAAGAAGAGTTTGGACTTGATATCCCGCTTTATCACTACCCAAAGGAGTCTCAAAGCGGCTAACAATCTCCTTTCCCTTCCTCCCCCACAACAAACACTCTGTGAGGTGAGTGGGGCTGAGAGACTTCAGAGAAGTGTGACTAGCCCAAGGTCACCCAGCAGCTGCATGTGGAGGAGCAGGGAATCGAACCCAGTTCACCAGATTACGAGTCCACCCCTCTTAACCACTGCACCATGCTGGCTGACACACACAAGCATCACCCTCCAGGAATACTGATTTGACACGTACATAAAGTTCTGCTATAAAGAATTTGGATTTTCATTACGAGATCTTGGGGTCATAGCAGGCAGCTCGATGAAGACCCAGTGCGCAGAGGCTCTAAGATGCTACTGGAAGGAATTTTTTTTGTTTTGTTTCGACTATGGCAGACCAACACGGCTACCTACCTGTAAATGAAACATAAAGGTAAAGGTACCCCTGCCCGACGGGCCAGTCTTGACAGACTCTAGGGTTGTGCGCCCATCTCACTCAAGAGGCCGAGGGCCAGCGCTGTCCGGAGACACTTCCGGGTCACGTGGCCAGCGTGACAAAGCTACATCTGGCGAGCCAGCGCAGCACACGGAAACGCCATTTACCTTCCCGCCAGTAAGCGGTCCCTATTTATCTACTTGCACCCGGGGGTGCTTTCGAACTGCTAGGTTGGCAGGCGCTGGGACCAAGCAACGGGAGCGCACCCCACTGCGGGGATTCGAACCGCCGACCTTTCGATCGGCAAGCCCTAGGCGCTGAGGCTTTTACCCACAGCGCCACCCGCGTCCCTAAATGAAACATATGTTGTAGATATTTTCCCACATCTATTATGCTATTTTTGTGACATACAAATGACATGGAAAACTTGCTATACTTATTTGTATTTTATTCTTGTTTATAAAGCCCAATAAAATAAATCAATAAAAATTTCTATCGGCCTCCAGAAATAGCGATGGATAAACATGTAAAATCCCTACCATCGCAATAAGTGAGCTAGTTGAGAACGGAATAAGACATACCTAGTTCCAGAGCATCTTGGTTCAAGCTGTCTCTGCTGGGAGAGGACACAGGCATCTTTCTGGACAGAAACAAATTAAGCACACAGATGACCAAACAAGAGGCAATTTATCAGAAAGGCTGCTGTATAAACAGAGATGAACAACAACATTTCAGCAAGGAGAGCAGTTTTTCATCCGCATTCTGTGCTCAGAAGGATGGGGGCGAAGGGGGCATCAAGTCCCCCACCCCCTTCAACAAAATTCAGGGACTGTCAATCTCAGTTCTCAGTTTCGCGATCTTAAATTCAGACCTCCACAGCAAATTTGTCATTTCTTCTTTAATGCTCGCAGAGATTCGCCAGCACTTCCAATTTCTCCCAATAAACCCATTCTCGTCTGCAGTTCCGACCAACGTACACATCTTAGCAAGCAGTTTCCCCTAAGGGAGTTCATTTTTGTGAGGTATTTTGCTATCACATTAGTTTTCATGCCCCAAATATGTGCATTTTTTGTAAATGTTGCTTGGTTGGAAAAGTGTGCTGCAAAAAATCAAGCGAGTGAGAATTCTGAAGGATAGCATAGCTGTATTTTGGTTCGCAAAGTGTGAATTGGGTAGCTTCTCACTGAAATGCAAACAAAATTAAACCCCCCTGTTCCTATTGGGGTGTGTGTGCAATTTTTAGTGGGGGGAGAATGCCCTGCTGCCATGTTTTCTCTGAAAAGCCCTGGCAGGCTACTCTATATGATGTAGCAACACTCATATAGTTTCAATATCTGCCATTTTGGGATGCAGGAAATGGTTGCTCCAGCGATGGACAGGAGTCCTGATGCTACCGCAAATCCCGTCCCTGCAGTGGAAAAGTCAAAATTGCCCTTTCATTTTAGTATCTGCTAATAGAGTAGTGAAATGGAAGCGTGGGTGCAATTTTAGCCCAGGGCCTTCAAAAAAACCAACAACCTCTTGACGACATGTTGTGATGTACCGGTGGTATTTAACCCCTACTAAGTTGGCAAAAATGTATAGGACAAGTACAAATACCTGCTGGAAATGTAAAGAAAATGAAGGTAACTTTTATCATATGTGGGGGACTTGTAAGGTAATCAAAGCTTTCTGGGAGATGATATATCAGGGGTGAGCAAACTTTTTCCACTGTCCCTCAGACCTTGTGGGGGGCTGGACTATATTTTTTTGGGGGAAATGAATGAATTCCTATGCCCCACAAATAACCCAGAGATGCTGTGCTGGTCCTGTGGGTTTCCGTGAGGCATGGTCCGAGTCCAGTCTGAGGTCAAGGGTGCAGTATTGAGGCCGTCCGTCAAAGCTGAAGCTGGGTGCAAGGCAGGGAGTTGGGCGAGGTCAGGAGATCCGGCAGGACAGGGACTAGCAACCAACAATGTTGCTCCTGCAACCTGGGGCTGGGGCTGGCTGGCTTTTATCTGCCCTGAGGCATAGGGCAACCCCGATCCTCTGGGGACTCACCTCTCCTGGCCTGGAGGCAAGTGCTCCTCCTGCGGGAACTTAGTTCCCTCCGCCTCTCTGCCCTGAGCCTCTGCAGCTCAGGAGAGGCTGGAGGGTTACCGGACCCAGAGGCAACCTCAGCTTCCCCTGACAGGGCTGAGAGTGGAGCACCTGCAGGCAATGGGTCCTCCATCACCTCCGGAGCCAGAGCAGACTCAGCTGGTGCCTGCACCTGAGGATCCAGCACAGGTGAGGACCCTTCAGGCTCAAGCCCCAGCCCCGGCTCAGCTGGTTCTGGAGGCGGGGACTCCTGTGCAGGCTGGGATTCCTCAGGTTCAGCCGAATCCCAGGCCATCACAGATGCATTTTAAATAAAATCACACATTCTACTCATGTTACACCAGGCAGGCCCCACAAATAACCCAGAGATGCGTTTTTTTTAAAAAAGGGCACATTCTACTCATGTAAAAACATGCTGATTCATGGACTGTCTGTAGGCCGGATTTAGAAGGCGATTGGGCCAGATCCGGCCCCCAGGCCTTAGTTTGCCTACCCATGTGATATATAATGGAATGGAAAAAAATGCTTAGAATAACCTTTGTTAAGAAAACAGAAGCTTTTCTATTAGGAATTATAGGTACCGATATCTGAAGGGACAACAGCCGCTTGGATGCTACTAGCCCAGAGATGGAAAGAACACAAAGTCCATACCAGAGAGGACTGGCAAACCAAGTTGATGGGACTACGCCAAAATGGCAAAACTGACCGGAAAACTCAGAAACCAAGAGGACAAAAACTTTATAAAAGAATGGGGGAAATGTAGAAGTTATTTGGGAGACCACTGTAAGCAGATGGAAACATTAGCAGGATTTTGATTTCACCGGTAGTGTGACAATCACCATGGATAATATGGTTGCAGCAGAAAATGTTTAAAATGGGACCCCATGGAGAGGGTGGGGGAGGGGAATGCAGAGATTCGGAGGAATCTCTTTATATGGATATACAGTGGTACCTCGGTTTACGAACTTAATCCGTTCTGGAAGTGCGTTTTTAAACCGAAAATGTTCTTAAACTGAGGCGCGCCTTCCCTAATGAGGCCTCCCGCAGCCGGTGCCCTTCCACCATCCGGAGTCTGTTCTTAGACCAAGGTAAAGTTCTCAAACCGGGACACTATTTCCGGTTTTGCGCAATTCATAAACCGAATGTTTCTTAAACAGGGCTGTTCTTAAACCGAGGTACCACTGTACTTTTTGATTCTTTGTTTATAATTTTGTATTTGTAAAACCAGTAAAAATGATTTTTTTAAAAAAACCAAACCTCTTGTCACAGAGGACTTTTAATTCTTATTTTGACTATTATTGCATGGCACATTGCATGGGCTCCTCCCTCCCTCTTTTGCGCATTGCGTTGTCTTCCCATCGGGCTGTTAAACCTACTTGGATCTGCTCCAGTTTGGTAACTGAAATTGGACCATATTCCTGGCATCTCTTTGTCTCCACAGAGTGAGGGAACCGTTTCCACACCCAGATGGGAGGAGAGACGGAGGTCGTTATCCAGGATATGGGATCCCACACATTCCCAGCTCAACAATGTCATCGCATCAGCGATTGCCGACTTGCAACATCCTTCCCATTCATACGTTTCCCCTCCTGGCTCTTTAGCAGGAGATGAGCAAAGCAGGGAACTCCCTTCGTGACATTCAGGACCTTCGTAGCAGAATACGGGGGCTTTTTCTGGTGGGGCGGGGGTGTCTCCTGGACCTCTGACTACTGGACCCCTTCTGCAACTTAAGAACATAAAGCTAGCGCTTGTTCTCACCCTGGAAAGCTATAAGGAATTGATTCAACAACGTGACTCAGTCAGGAGAACTGAAGCATGCGTACACACTGGAGTAGAAAATGAATCACCAGCGTTAGGGATGAGTCAAGGCAAAAAAAGAAAACCCCACCCAGCGAACGTCCGTGTTTTAAAAGACCAGTCATGGGATTGAATCAAATGGGTTGCAAATCAATAAAATTACATTGCAGTGGGGTATGGTAACCTTTGGGACGCGGGTGGCGCTGTGGGTTAAACCACAGAGCCTAGGACTTGCCGATCAGAAGGTTGGCGGTTCGAATTCCCACAACAGGGTGAGCTCCTGCTGCTCTGTCCCTGCTCCTGCCAACCTAGCAGTTCGAAAGCACGTCAAAGTACAAGTAGATAAATAGGTACCGCTCCGGCGGGAAGGTAAACGGTGTTTCCGTGCGCTGCTCTGGTTCGCCAGAAGCGGCTTAGTCATGCTGGCCACATGACCCAGAAGCTGTACACCGGCTCCCTCGGCCAATAAAGCGAGATGGGCGCCGCAACCCCAGAGTCAGCCACGACTGGACCTAATGGTCAGGGGTCCCTTTACCTTTATGGTAACCTTTGGCAAGGATATCTAAAAGGTAAAAGGTAAAGGACCCCTGGATGGTTAAGTCCAGCCAAGGGCGACTATGAGGTTGTGGTGCTCTCTTCAGGATTGGCCTTGACTCAACAGGGTCAGATTCCACATAGTGATTTTATACAGTTCATAATGCAAATATTCTCCATCTTGTAATGTTCAATTATATCACGAGATGAGCATGGTTTTCCTGAAGTTCTTCGACACAAAATGTAGAGCAAGCTTGCGCATGTGTGCCATCAGCAGGGTGTATTGGGAAATGTAGTCTCTCAAGGTACCTGAGAGTGACCTTGGGCCAGTCGCTGCCTCTCAGCCTAGCCTACTTCGCAGGGTTGTTGTGGAGTTCAATTAGGAAGGAGAGAACCTAATGAGCTCCTTGGAGAAAAGGGTGGAGCATGAATGCAAGAAACAGACAAATAAATAAGTTTGCACCAGGGTAAGGTAAAGGTAAAGGTACCCCTGCCCATACGGGCCAGTCGTGTCCGACTCTAGGGTTGTGCGCTCATCTCACTCTAGAGGCCGGGGGCCAGCGCTGTCCAGAGACACTTCCGGGTCACGTGGCCAGCGTGACGAAGCTGCTCTGGCGAGCCAGCACCAGCGCAGCACACGGAAACGCCGTTTACCTTCCCGCTATAAAGCGGTGCTTTCTTAAGCACTTAAGGGTGCTTTCGAACTGCTAGGTGGGCAGGAGCTGGGACCGAGCAGACGGGAGCTCACCCCGCCGCGGGGATTCGAACCGCCGACCATGCGATCGGCAAGTCCTAGGCACTGAGGTTTTACCCACAGCGCCACCCGCGTCCCTTGTGCACCAGGGTACAGCAACACAACTCTGGCATCTGCACACTGCCTCCCAGTCAACACATTGCAAAAACCACAATCCCAAAAGTTGAAACAAGAGGGTTTCTGGGACTGGGAAAGACTCGCAAGGACTTTACCACTGTTTCCCCTTCAGCTGATGATCTCGCAATCACAGCTATTGTATACATAGCACGCATGGGTTGGTGGAGCAGGAAAATGCACGGTTCCCGCATGTTGTAAGAAGGAAGCAATCCATCACATTAGGAAAAGGGGGCAGGAAGAAAATAGGCCTCCCCATAAGGAAGCCATACTGCACTCTCTCCAGATTGACAGGCCTCCCCCTTTTGATCTCCGCGCATTGCGGGCCCGGTGTTTACACGAAGAGCAACGCTGCTGGGGAA